CTCGGACTTAGGAAGTAGAAATCTTGGCGCTGTCTCCGGCAAGGTCCGGCACACAAACCATGGAGCAGCTCAAGCTGCAAATCGCGTGATCAGTGCTCCCACCTACAAAGCCCGAAGCTCGAAAACCACAACGAGAGAACCCGAAAGCCGAAGTTGTAATGAAGGGGCCGAAGTAAAATTGAATTGGGCCTTGGGCTATTCTATGCTATACTTATACTATGGAACCCGACGAAAGAAACTTACTCAGCACTCAGGCCCCGTAGGTGTAAGCAAGTTCCTTTGGCAGGGGCTGGCGCGGCATCGATCCGCTCCAAAAACTCGCGCACAGTGGCCTGGGAAGAACTTAGGATTCCACCACTAGGGGCTAACAGGCCCAGTCGACGGCATTTTAGGGGTCTGGCATTTTAGGATTCGGGGTTGAGGGGTCCTGCATTTTAGGTGTCCTGGGCTTGAAGAGCCCAAGCTCTGCTTTATGCCTTAAGCCTTGCAGTCCTACGGTGTTACGATTCCTGCTCTCACCTGGGAAACCTTCAAAAAGATGAACACATTAACGTGATCAAGCGGACTTCATCCCAAGCTTGCATGTTCAGGCTTTCTTTCAGGGCCTTGCAGCTTGGGCCTCTCTTCACCAACCTCTGCTTTTGGCTATGACTGTAAAAACTTCTGGGCCCTGAATCCTAAACCCTAAAAGGGAATGCAGGGTACAGCCTTCACCACTCCGGCACCCGACATCAAGACGACAACCTGTAGTCCTATAGACCGACACATCTCAACCCAACCGATCTCAAGAGCTTCAGAGTCCAAAGACGGAGTTTCAGTGAGGGACGCATGGGGGTGCTCTCAACTCTCGTAACATGTAGGGCCAATGCAGGGTCAGGATGCTGAATATAAAATAATACAATATATTATATATAATATTATACAATACAATATAATATAATACAATATAGTATAATGTAGTATAGTAGGTGCCCGAAAATGCGGAACGGTGGCCGCAGTATGCTCGCGAAGCTGGGGATGATCTTGGGCCAGGCCTGGGTGGCAAGTACACTTCCACACCCTGCATCCTTCTGAAAAAGAATCCCATATCAACTGCCTATTATATTCTGTATCACTGTGTGTTCTCTGTTACACAGTATATTACATATCATATAAATATACTATATTATCCGTGTGGTCTGCGCGAAGATAGCTCAATTTGACACCATCGGCCAGTGGGAGTGTCCTTGTGTTGAAAAGCTTTGTTCAAGGATCAGGTAGCAGGGCAATCGCAGGCTACGCCAGGGCCATCGCGGGCTGTGCCTTGTTGACTGCTGGGCTCACCGGCATGTGCTATTCCGAATTCCAGCCAGTCACAACGGCAGCATGTCCTGGTGCTAGTGGTCGTCGCCGCCAAAAGCCCTGTTCTTGCTTCGTTCGGCTGCGATGGAAATTGTGTCCGGGCTGCTGAATGCTCCTGAAGCTTCGGTGGTCACATGTTCCACACCCATCCCGTCGCTGCCTACTATGGCACCTAAACCGGATTAAATCGGCTGGTGTTTCTGCATTGCTACTTGTGTGGCTGAGGGTCAGCGGGCTTCCCAGTCCCAGGGTGGAGGCTTCATGTGAGGAAACGCAATAACGGGCCCTCCATATCCGCTCAACACTATTTAGTCACCACTTGTGACGTCGATCGGCTTGGACGGGGCACCCTCTGAAAATGATACACGACGCTGCCCTGTGCCACGCATCGGCTTGGCTGCTGGGGGGCCGCCATACCAGAGGCCTCTTTAAAAGCTTGGCACAAAACAACAAGCACGTCTTCTTCAGCACTTGCCAACACAGTCGACAAGGTTTCTGAAGATTTAATCAAAAAGCCGACATGCTGGCCAGAACAAGCAGTCTTTTGACATGGTGAGCGAGACGGCGCCGAAGTCCCGGGCACAGCAAAAGGAAGTGCAGCGTGACCTTGGCACTCGAAGAGATTTTCCATTATTTCATACGGATACATCATACGGTTTCATGGGGCTTACTGAGGTTTTTGTTTATCAAGGGCTCCGTGTCTTGCTTTGATGCGGTCGTCCGACTTCGATCCCTTTGCGCACGCCCCATCACAAAGCCTGCCCCTCCCTGGTACTACAGCACAGGAGCTTTGGGATTCTTAAAACAAATTCAGGTGACCAAAATGATGATGAACTGATCCACCCCAGGACGCTGTTGCCAAGGCCAGGGCGAAGCACATGACCGCCCGCTCAGACTCGTAGTTGCTGTCTTTGACCTCGCCCGAGGCTTTTGTCCAATGCAATGCAAGCACGAAGCAAGCATCTCGATCATCCGGAAACCTACATCAACTGACAATGATAGTGTAAGAAAGCAATTCCTGCGACAATGCCATCATCGTAGTAGGATCTGGAAACTTCGGCTGTTTAGGGCTCTTCGTTTGCGGATCTAGGGGGTCCCAAGCTGATGCCAGAGAAACGAAGGAGATTCAAACTTGTGCAGCCCCCTTCAGTGTGCCCACCTCAACTAACACTGCCAAGCCTGTCGCAAAAAAGCGATTCAATCTGAACTTGACATAGGGGCCTTAATAATTACCTATACTGTTTTGAGGTTCCATATTCAAAAAAATTAGAGTACAATATACCCCAAAACCCTGTTCTGACTAATTGTTAAGGCCCCTAAATTAGCCCGGAACAACTTCAGGTTCCTGTCTCATAGTTTTTCCTGAATGATAATGTGTGTTTGGGAGGCGCAGCTGCGAGAAGAAACGGGGAGGTTGAGCCCGTCTGGCTTCCGTGAAAGTGCAAGGAGGACGATACTACACAGTGCTACTTCCACTTCACTCCACAACTTCCCTAATTTAGCACGGCCCCGCATCAGAGCCCAGTAAGACAACAGGGAGCAGCACACATCAGGCAGGTGCTCCTGAATCTTATCTCAAGGAGCGACTGTGCACGTGGAACGTGCTGTCTGCTATACTTGCGAGCCAATGGGTCGACCCATGAGAAGTCATATGTGCGGGTCGGAGCTCTTGCGAGTCGTCTGCTCGAAGCCCATTTTTGCCGGAGTTTCGACCGAAGGAAACCGCACATGACCCTACGGTCCAGAATTACGGATCCAGGGCTCAGGGTTTATGAAGCACCTCATGGCTAGCAATTTGGCGGGCAAGTCACCAAATTCGAGACTTCCCTGCAAGGTTTCGGTTTAGGGTTTGGGGCAAGTTTAGGGATGTAGGGTTTCAGGGTTTTGAGGACGAGAGCCAGACTTGGATCCCAGACGATTCCGATGCAGGTGGTCTTCCATACCTCCCCGATGATGTTGAGTATGCCTTCAAAGCCTCAGGTTTGGGGGTTTCAGGGTGCGCCCCGGTCTAAAAGTCTAGGGCTGCAGAGGCGATAAGGTTTGCGTCATGATTTTAGCGACAGAACTGACCCAGCAACTGTCAAACCTCCATTCGTGCAGGTTCGATGTAAAGAGTTCAGCGGTCTGTGCAACACCCCTACCTCACATTGACTGCCAAGATGTGAACTCAATGCAAGTGCCTTGCCAACACAAACCCTTCATCAAACAGGATTGCACGAAGTATCCTAACAGAATTTCCGCTTTCCATGCCATAGCCATCGTTCATCATAGCTGCTGGCTTCTGTTACTTCTGTTCTGGTCAGTCGTTGTAATTCTATGATATGTGGTTGTTCCACCGCGTGATCCCAGGTGTAAAAACTACAACCCCATGGACGCTACAGTCTAAAAGGCTTCCAGGAGATCTGTTCATCCCGGCAGGACTTATGAGAGATGTTCGGTTCATTCCAAACAAGAAGGCAAGGAAGTACTTCATGAGACAGTGGGCACACCTGAAGGATGCCCCCGGAAAGTTTAGGGCCGTTTAGGGTTGAAGTGGATAAGCTTGAGGGTTTGGCTTTGTGGAAGTGTCTGAAGTGCCAGGCATCATGCAAAGTAGAGCTTTCAACATCCCTGCAAGCTTGTTTCCTGTTTCTCAGGCTGCGGCGAGTGGCACAGTCGCCTTGCAACGCATCTTCCAGCGCAGTCTTCGTACAAAAAGTCATGATCTCTACACTGAAGTTTGGGCTGAGGACCCAATGATGAGGTCCTTTGAAGCTTAGAGTTTAAGAGCAAACATTTTCAGCGTGCTCGGAACTGAGTACTACACTGTTTCTGCGAGCTCCGGAGACCCAAACTCAAGGTCAGTCGTCTCGAGACCCAAGCTAAACCCCTTCATTGAGAGCAAATACCAAGACGTTTAGGGGTTAGGGTTTTAAGCTGGAAGGCTGCGAGGTACTTACGAGCTCGATATGCTCAACAGAAGTCTACGTATGTTCCACTTTGAAGCTTTCTGGGTGCAGCAACCATATTGATATTTATTGGTTGCCCTAAGAGCCCATGTGCCCAAACAGTAGATACTTTGGCCTCAAAGTGCCCAGACATAGGGATTACTTTTTAAGGACAAAGTATATACTGTTTGGGTACATGGACCCGTAGTCTAGACGTGTACTCAACCTCCATGTGGCGTCTTAAGCCACGGACTGGACCTTGCCATTCCTAGCATCATGCTGGTCTCAGGAAAAGCAGAAAGAAACCAGATTCATGCACGACTGTAAGGCCATCTCCGTAATGAAATTGCTTCTATCTGCAATCCAATTTCGACGTCCTTAAGGTTCCAGGATCCGGAACTGTCCAACCGAAGCTCTGAAACATCCCCAAAATGGCAAAAGCCCTGAGCCCATGTATATGCCTGACCCTCAAGTATCTACATAAAAGGAAGCCCGTGAGGGCCAAAATGCAGACTAGAGTGTAAAAACTATTCAGATTAAGAGATATATATATATATACACTTATCTATTTGTTTAGTTATATTTAGTTATTTATGTATATATATATACATATGTACATACTTATGGCATATATATATAGAGAGAGAGATGCGTATGTGCACCTGGGCAGTCACATCAAACTATTGTGCTACCCCTGTCACTCAAGATGGACTTTTTTGGGACGGGGCGACCTCAGATCTTAAACTCGATGTTTCCAACTCTGGCAGGGTCCTTGCTGTACATATGCTGCTGGATGATGAAAACATACCCATTGTAGCTGCGCATCTCTCGCAAACCGAGACTGCGTACAACTCTCCGCATCGCTTGCAGCACTTCCGGCTGTGGCGCTTCGATCGTCTTCAAGAAACCTTGCTTGCACAAAGTCTGACGTACACCAGCGTCCCTTTGAGCTACAACCCACTTGCCGGAAGAATGATTTGACAGAAACGCATGCCTCATTTTGTGCTCCACGTCGACGACAGTGTCGCTGGAGACAGGAAGTGCATCAAGTTTTTTTCGGAGAGTGTTCTTGTGTTCTGGCCGGTTCACAAACAACAGCAGGGCCTCGGGCAAATCAGTGCTCAAGCCTTGATCCAGATACCCCAACCTTTGCAAAGCTTGTGCCACCATGTCGGTCGAATCCTTGAGCATGAAAGGCCCCCCACCTCTGAAAACTCTCCTTGCATTCTTGCCACCGTATTCTCTGAGCGTTTTGTCATTGTTAGTCCCTGAAGTTGTTATTGGGAGGAAGAAAGCATGGTCATTGTGGCAGCGAGCCCATGAAGTTGGGTGTCTTGAAGCTTGCAGAACCTCGCACGCAGCTTCAAGTGCCAACTCCATCGGATAAACTGTAAGTGGTCCCAGCCGGTTAACGAACCAAAACTTTGCCACGGACTGCAGCAGGGCTCCTGCCTCAACTCCGTCAGCACAGTAGCCAAGTTCTTGCAGAAAATCCCGAAGGTGATCTAAATCTTATTGATCAAGATGAGAAGGCGGACAGGGCTCCGCCATGTTCACACTTCCATGTCCGTCCGGCTCCAGAGTAGCTCTAACCTTCACGCCCTGACCACGCCGATGTCGTTCAGCCGTCAAAACAGAAGTAGCCAATGGCACAACATGTGCAGCAGTTTCCTTGTACCTTCGAAGGCCAAAATTAATGGAGGCTGGACCGCCTGTAGGGACAAAAACCCACGTGTTCTTCTTGCGCAAAGACGCGATCTGCCGAATCTGCTCGAAAAAGTCGTTGTCGGCCGTCAACAAAGCTATGCAGATGTCTTCTTTCGACTGAGCCAATTGCACAAGCTGTTTTTCAATTGCTATGTCGTTTGCCTCTCCTTCCCCGTTCCGTGGAACGGGGCTGAAAGTAACCCCGCTCTGTTGGAAAAGCTGATGCCACTTCTTGTTATTCTGTCTTCCTGGCTCAGCGTAATCAGTCGTGTGAACGCGGAAGCCTTCCTTCCTCAACTGCTGGATAGCTTCCATGATCGGATGTATACCACCGTGGTCTGCATCCACCAGCAGCTCTGCACGTCTTTTGGAAGCCGCCAAGCAGGTCCGATATCGCTGTTTCGGTGCCTGCTGCCAGAGCTCGGTAACTCGTATTTGATAGTGACAGGTGAAAGGACTCGGCAAGCCCTAAACCCAGATGATTAGCTGTTTAACAAATTTGGTCTGCATATGCTTGCCAAACTTCTTCAGGGCTGATCGGCGTGACCCTTCTTCACTGGCGACAAGAAAATTCGAAAAGCGAGCAATACCACTCTGACGCTATGACAGACACGTCTGACTTCATCCAAGTGATGTCATACATAATTAGAGTATGTCGGTATATCGTTGCAAGCAAGTGGCTGGCCAACAGACTGCAGCAGTGACGGACAGCAGCCACCGCCCCCGACCTCGTTGCAAACGCCCCTGAAGCTGCGACTGAAGGTGCCGCTGTCTGCGCCGAGGGCTCTGAGAGATCGCAGAACCATGCGAGGAGCTGTGTGCCCATGACAAGGCTAACATCTTTGCTACAGATATGGGAGATGTGGAGGCTACGATAGTTCCCAGTGTCCTTTAGCAAAGATCCCATGAGCACCTTCACACACTGGACTCAGTCCTGCAAACACCATGCACGGGCACTCTTGTTGGATCTCAGCTTGGGAAACACCTTGACCTTACGGCCTTTGGGCTCTTTAAACCCTAACTTTTAAAAACCCTAAACCCTAGACTCCGAACCCTAAACCCTACCCCTACACCGAAGCCTGTTGAAGCTCACAACAACTCGAGGCTGCGACTCGGCGGTTGAAACCCGTGTCGAAGGGTCCAGGGCTCCACAAATTCGACCATACCCTAGGGGTCCACGTAATCAAACAGGTTCCTGTAAGGGTTCCTTTAGGGGGTTCTACTATAATTAAGGGTTTTGGGTTTTAGGGTCCATGTACTCATATAGTACATACTTGGGCCCTAAAGTAGTCCCTATACAAGTACTTTAGGGTCAAAGTATGCTCATATGAATACACGGACCCTTAAGGATATTAGGAGATTTAGTCTTTCTTGGGGAAGGGCTGGTGGAGAGCAAGAACAACGGCAGCCTGAGCGGCAGCTGTTGAGCTTGAGCTGGTACATGCCTCGGCAGATTCTTCGACAACGAGGGGTGGACAGAGGTGTCCAAATTCCCTGCGGTGTTGAGAAACAGTGATGGCATAGTAAGAGCGCCAAGCCACGCTTAAGTGCAACCAGGATGTTGTAGCGACTAGCGAGTGCTCCGGAGCAAGTCGAGCATGCACTAGTTGAGCGAAGTTCGAAGATGTTTGAAGGTCTGCACTTCTTTACCCGTGTTCAGAGAGGATGTCCTGCCACCGCACAATCCGACCTCCGTAAACGACGTGAGGCCCACAACATACCTGCAGAATCCCGTCATGGAGCGGGCTGACAAAGCCATTCGTATCGCAAAGGCAGCTTACCTGAAACTCCCGTTAAGCCCCCTCTAAAATAATGACGTAAACAAAATCAAAGTTGAATACCCTCGTCCCAGACACTCATCCTCCAGGCACACCCAACAGAGCCAAAAGTGCACTCTGACAGGGTTAGAGTAAAGCAACCTTCCATCACCTGTCTTTTTTGTAGCGCCCCTAGGTATGCAGCTTCAAGGGGGCAGGCTTTCAGGCGTTGGCGCAGATGACAACAAGCACGAAGACCTATAACTTTATGACATCCGAAACCCAAGTAGGCCCTGCAAGTCTTCAACACCCTGGAGCTACTCCTACATCCTACAGCCTCCCTTACTTACTTACCTGAACCTACCTACTTACCTACCTACTTACCTACCGACCTA